GCCTTCATCATGGAGGAGCTGGACCGCTGTTATAACCGCGCCGTCACTCTGGCCAAACGGATGGCGACAGCGGAGCAGCCGTCCGCTGACAGGTACAGCACTTTACAGCCAACGGGGTGGGAAGGACGCACTTCATTGTTTGGGAACATGTCAAAAAGCTTACAATCAGTGGAATAACTGTTGCATCCACTGGTGTGTGTTTACCAGCAAATCCATAAAGAACCAGCACAACCTCACTTTAATCTACTCTTTCTTCCCACAGCGATCCCACCGAGGGCTGCTTCAATTACCCAATGGTGGAGAAGTTCTTGATGACCAAGCGCTGCTCTCGAAAGCTGATCATTTACTACCTCCTGTGCCGCGTTCTGACTCTGCTCACCCTGCTCTGCGCCTGCGTCTGCCTGGGCTACTACCTCCGCCTGGCCTCCACTACAGACGACTTCGGCTGCAAGCTGCGTGTCGGCCTGCTCGAGTCGGACACCAGCGTCCCCGACAGGGTGCAGTGTAAGCTCATCGCCGTGGGAGTCTTCTCCTTGCTGAGGTATTTTCCTGAGCTTTGCATTGAAGAGTTGATGCATCAAAAATCAGAATAAGTTTTGATTTGTGCTTTACAAACAAGTTTACCTGTGGTGCAATGATTAGATCTGAACTCTTTCGAGAATAGTAAAAACTGAAATTCATTAAACTGGGAATGGCAGACTGCAGGTACCAGGCAGGGGGTTAAAAAAAAGTGGCATAAATTGCAGTTCCTCTAACGCCCACTAGAGGCTGGATCCAAAAGACACATTTTTGACACATTTCATTGGATAAAAAGAGTTTTTTTGTTGCCATTATGCCAGTAGGTTGGACTTTTGGGATACTTAAGGCCTCCATCTCTCTGATTACTCTTCTCAGCTTCGTAAACTTGATTGTCTTCGCCACGTTGATTCCAGTTGTGATCTACGCCAGTCTGCGTCCCCTCTACTGCTATGACCACGCCCACTTCCTTGAAACCTACCAATCACTGCCCACTGTGAGCGTCCTGCCCAAACCCGGTGGCCAATGTGACGATCTCTCGCTCTACATACTCCTACTGGAGGAGAACATCAGTGAACTGAAATCCTACAAATATATGAAGGTGTGTATTTTAAAGCATCAGAAATGACAAACCAAACTTTGTCAGCATTGGAAACATTTTGTTCTGTGTTTAAGTGAAGTTGTTTGACCATTAAATCAAATCATTCGTACATGAGAAACCAGATCCTTCTGTTGTGTTTGGAATAGTTACGCTGACCCAATTTCCCTCTTTATGTCCCATTCTCCCATTTCATGTGTTGTGATAAAATCCCACATTCTGATTGGCTTAAATAGATGTAGCACAAGAAACTCGGGGCTAAAAAAAGGCATCGTGGCTCTCTGAATATGTGAGCATATGAATGAGAGCATGAAACCAAACTTCATCCTTTTATGCCTGTTAGAAGAAAACAAAGTGCATATGACTCCTTCACATGTTAAACCTCTCCCAGTCTACCCTTCATTGTCAGAAACTGTCCCACATAAGCATGCTCTTTGTCCTACATGTGGTTTGGTAACTTTAATACTGGGAAAAAATATCTCAGGAAGTTGTTTCAGTTCATCTGGATGGAACATTTTCAGTGTGAGAAGCGTTTGGATCACTGAGTCTCAGCAGACCTTATAAACAGTATTATAAGAGTGTGACTTTTATCATCCACAGTGCCGTGATCCCTGTGAATAGCCCACATGACCACTGACCATTTATGATGACGCTCTCGTGGTTCACTGTTATGTAATCGCACTGGTTTCTATGTTTACGCAACGTTAGTGTTTATAAGGTTGTGGAAACGTGCGGCCAGTTGAGGCGCGGATGAGTGAGGACACATTT